GGGGGGGGGGGGGGGGGGGGGAGAGCTGGCTGCTACCAGCAGCATGGATCAGGGGACAGATTCTACTTGGAACAGATGGTCCTGAAGCAGCAGCCTTCCCTTAGCTGGCAATTCAGAAAGCTTCAAAAATAGATTTCCAAGGACAGAAAAGCTCAGATAAGTAGGCTTATTGTAGAAAAGCTACAGGCTGTAGCAAAAGAATTCTAGCTATTAATCAAATGCAGGCCTTATTTATATAGAATGAACTCAAGATTCAGAATGATTGCACCTTTTTCTCCTGCCTGACCCACACAATGGATTCGACATCCCTCTCTTTGGGGAGAGAGGCCAAGTTTCCTTCTGTCTCTTGTTTCAGTCATGGACAAATCTGTACCAGGCTGTTCACTTTCAGCCATTTGAGAAGTAGCTCTCTCACACTATTGATGACTTGAGCTAGAAAGGATTTTATAGGTAATAATCAGCACAAGTTTAAACCCAGAAGCCAAATGGCAGCCAGTACAGCTCCCACCATATCAATGTTCTTCTACTATAAAGATTCTCACCCCTTAATAGGTGGGCAGCTCATCAGCTGTAGTTTCTGAATCTCCTTCAAGGACAACCTCATGTAGAGGAGATCACAGGGAAGAATATTTTCTAGCACTGCAGATTGCAGGATGCTGAGTAATGGGAGCAATTACAGAATGGTCAGTTCTGAGCCTTTCTCCATTTGCATCTACAACAGGACAAACATGCTGGGGCAACATTCGTTTTTTTTTTTTTTTTAAGCAAGCTATGATAATTTCAAGGTATAAAATCTAACATGCTGTGCATACTATCTTATCAGTGATGCAGCTGGGTGACCCATAATTGTAGATTCAGTCTGGCCCCTATTGCCTTCACTTCCCCTCCACTTCCCAGGCACTCTCCTCCCCCCCACAGCCACCCACCGAAAGAGTTGAACCCCACTGCAGAGCTGGCAAGCTTTGAAACAGCACTGAACCCACATCCTCCTGAGAGAGTAGTAAAACAAGAGAACGCAGGTCTAGCCATTTTTCAAAAGTTGGGAAATTCTACCTCTGTGTTTTGTATCTTTGTGGGGCTGTGTGTGTGTGCTTGTGGGACTCAACTCCCACTGTGAAACTGGATCAGGAAGAAAACAACACTATTCTGTTCACTTCTCTTTGTAATTTACATATATTTCTTTTTTATATAATAATTTTTATAGAAATTTAAAAATACAAAGATTTAATTTAATACAAACTAAGAAAAATATAAAAAAGGAAAAGAAAAAAAGTGCAAAGAGAGAAAAAAAGGGGGCAAGGGAAAAAATATAAAGAAAAAAGATGTATGAAGAAATGACTTCCCCTTTCATCAAGACAAGTACAATTTCAGTAACTTATCACCTCCTCTAACATTTCAACCAAAAATCTCTTCATCCCATATCTCATCTTTTTTCTATTAGCAAATAATAAAGCCTCATCATTCAGTCTTAATCAGCAAAAGTCCATTAAGAGTTACCAGAAATAACAATATATAATTTTTAATCTTAAGCAAGTAAAACAATTTCATATTCCTTTCCTTCCCTTTACACAGTATCATTTTCTCTAAAAGTACAACCAAAAAAATCTCTTCTTCCCATATCATATCCCATATCTATAAACAAATCTTTCAAGCCTCATCATTCAAACTTAATTAAAAAAAATCCATTAAGAGCTACCAGAAACAACATATTGAAAATCTTGATCTTTAATCCCTTCAAATAATGTCCCATAAATTAATTTCTTATCATTTTCTCTTCATCTCCTCTCAGAGACTCCTTTGCAAGTTTAACACTTTCTTTCAATTTTAACACCATACTTTATAACTTTCTCTAAACTTACAACAAAAAATCTCTTCTTCCATTATCTTATCTATAAACACATTTTTAAAGCCTTGTCATTCATTCCTGGTCAAGAAAAACCAATTAAAAGCTACTAGGAAAAAAAATCATATATATTTTAACCTTGATTGAATAAGCCAACTTTATCATCCTTCTTTTTGCTTTTAAAAGTCTTGATGTTTATTCCTTTTAAGTAGTGTCCTAAAAGCTGATTTTTTTTCATTCTCTCTTTATCTTTTATCAGAAACCTTGATGTTTATTCCTTTTAAGTAGTGTCCTAAAAGCTGATTTTTTTTCATTCTCTCTTTATCTTTTATCAGAAACTCCTTCATAAGTATAACACATCTCTTTTGTATGTCCAAAATAAGAAAATTGTCAAAGTCACTCTTCTGAGTTGAAATCCAAGTCATTCTTCTGATTTATTATTTGTGTGTCCCTTTTAGCTATTAAAACATCAGCCAGTTTCATTTGTAAGTTCTATGTAACATATTGTCAACATCATTTCTGAGTTGAAATCCAAGTCATTCTTCTGATTTATTATTTGTGTGTCCCTTTTAGCTATTAAAACATCAGCCAGTTTCATTTGTAAGTTCTATGTAACATATTGTCAACATCATTCTTGTAGCCTGTCATTTTTAAATCCATATCCAAAACAATCTGATTCTGTTATATCCTCTTCTATCTCCTCTTTTAAACCCATTTTTATAGCAGCAGACAATCTTAGGAGAAAGCTCTGAGTACGTTGTTGCCATATGTCCTTAAATTCTTCCTGAGTTAGAATACTTTTCTCCATTCTGTATTAGTCCGTCTTCTCCTTTAATTATAATCTTTAGTTCTTTCTGGTTGCCTCTAGTAACCAGCCTTCAAGATCTCATCTTATCATGTTTTCCTCTAAACCACAACATTTTCCCATGGAAAGATTTCTTACACTTAAATCCAAAATTTTCATACAAACCACAGGAAGGATTCTTATAAGTAGTTTCAAAATTTTATTTCCAGTCAAGCTGGCCCTTTAGTCCATTTATAACTTTCCAAAATCAATGTTCTAATAACCCTTTTGCTGCTTATTTCCAAATAATTTTTTTTTCTTTAAGTTCTTAAACTTACATGAAACTTCTTTTGCTGAGGATTAAGGAGAATCACACAGTGTAATGAAACTTGTCCTTCTGAAGGTTCTTAGTATCCAAAAAGCAATTTACAAGCCATTTCCAGAAGGGATTAAGAGAGGAAGTGGGCGAACCCAGTGTCCTTTTGAAGGCTCCGAACCATGGCTTGGGCAACGCTGACTCTTCCGGCTCCCAGAGCTCTAAAACCTGCCATAGATTGCTGTTTTACAATCTTGCCATGGGGAGCAACTGTTACATATTTCTCATGTCCATTCATTTTTTTCTATTGTTCTGCACATTTCAGTGCTTGTGGGTTGGCCACAGCATGGTGCTGCAGTGTACAATATTCTGCTCCTGACAAAGGCACTTATAATCTTATTGTGAATTTATTTTATTCATTCCTATTGATTTTAGAAAACAATCTGTATTTTGTAACAGCCAACCTATAATAATTGCACAAAATGCTGGTCAGTGACCATAATAGCTACAATTAGGAAAAATCTGCCCCTCACCAAAGTGGAGGAGCCCCATTTGGCCAGGTGAATTCTCAGTCTACCAACCTGCAAGGCAATTAAGTTTCCAAATAACCATCCTTCCTCTTCTCCAGCATGGCTTTGTTGCATGGCAGCCCTTAAAATTTACCTGATAGACCCTGCCAGTTATATACCCTGTTCAACTTGGCAAATTAAGAGTCCTTCACATTTTAAAACCTGATTTCATGATGATATCCATTGTCCACAGGCATATAATTGAATTAAATATAAAAACCCCAGTTTCTTTATTTAATCCCTTCCCTCAATTCATTGACAAAAAGAGAAGCCTTAAAAGATGCTTAACAGATCTATATCAAAATTAAGTATTATGAGTTCTGTATGTATAGAAAAACAAAGAACCTGTATTGATCTCTTGCCAGCAGAGATCACTTTTGTGCTCCATTGTGGAGAAGTGGGCTAGTTAGCCTGGCACAAGCAGACAGGAACAGCAAGCATGAGAAACCATAATTCACATCTACAAATACACTTTGCCCTTGAGTGAAAATCCTGAAAGCTCCTTTTCATGTTATATGTTTCAGTCATGGATTAAGTTCCTTAGACAACACTTCCTGTGAAAACAGAAGTGAATGAATTACTCACAGTTACCGCTGTGAGAACAAGAGAACAAAGAGTGACTCTGATTTTCCATCCATCTCAGTCCAGGGGAAGCACCGGGTTCTCCAAGAAGATAGCCAGCTTGCCTGCCACCATGTCCAAGTCAATGCTATTGGTATACTTCAGCAGGTTGGTGTCCTTCATGAAGTAGTGCTTAAGGAAATGCTGACTCACGCATTTGTGCAGCTTTTGGACCAGCCGTACAAAGCTTTTGTGGAAACAGTGCCAGTCTTTGGCATGAGGGTACTTCTCACAGGTCCAAAAAAGTACCATCTACAAAGGAGATAAGTCTCTACTGAGCACAGTGGACAAGAGTCCACAACAATAAAGGATCAATCATTGGTTTGCTCCCAGCTTTCACAGGGAACACAGAAATGTCTACTTGCTGATGGGGGAATATGGTTAAGATAAGATAAAAAGGAAAATGAATATTATAATCTGGTATGTCCTCTTTTTCTATTTCTTTTTCTGTTTCTGCACAGGACCCTTGCCCAATTTGGCCAGTACTGATGGTCAGTATACCTTTAAATAGAAAAGCAAGATAATTTTTAATTTATCCTGTATTTGCTATAGAACTCAGGGCCATCTTGCCAGGAATATACAGAACACAGAATCTTTGCTGGCATTTTTGTTTTGGAGTTTGTTTTGTTTTGCTCTGGAGCTTCTTGCTGGAAGAAGAAACAGCAAGGTCATTTTCCTTCCCAGGCTGGACAATTCCAGACAGTCCAGAAAGTGCTGAGCCACATCCCTGATTCAACCCTAGGATATCTCAGCCAATAGATCAAAGACAGAGCTCCAGGCATACAGAAAGCCACATTGGGAAGCTCCAAGTTGTTCTCCTTCCTATGAGGCTGCTTGTCCATTATCAGTGAGGAAAGGTGTCTCTCTTCTGGTGCACATGGAGATATATTGGTTCTAAAGTGAAAGTTAATTCACTAATGGGAATTTTTGGTAGCCCAGCTCTTCATCTCAATAAATCTTGCCAAAGACTTTGAAATAAATTATACCAAATCTTGAGAATAAATTATCTCCAACATCCTTTCCAACCCATCTATGATTCTATACAATCAGGTTGGCAATAAAATCTGGGCCTGGGGCAGTTCAATTTTTCCAAATTTAGATAGAGCAAGAACATGAAGGGAGTAATTGGCAAGGCCTAGGAAGTCTGTTTTTAGACTCAGTTATAAGTAACTGCTTGTCTATGGATAGGAATATGAGAATCCCCTATTGTACCCATTCAGAAATCCGTAGGTAGCCAATTTCTTAGAAACTGTACACAAATGAGTCCACTCCAGCAGAGATCTCTCTGCTTCCCAAAATACAAGCTGTATTTTGTATAGGTGGAATGATGTATGTGCCTTCCTATCACCTGTGCCTTCCTATCATTTGCTCCACTGGCTGAAGTGGTGACAAATATCAGGTGTGATCATTTGAATGGCACATTATTCCTTTACTGGAGATGTGGAAGCTACTTCTTTGCATATATACAAGCAGGACTGAATTGAGGTTTTTCCATCAAAGCACCAATTTGTAATATATTCCAAATAATATTCTGATCAGGCTCAATATCAAAGTCTTGTTGCTTTTACAGTGTATTAATGTAATGCTGAAATACAAAGGAGGGCTGGAACTTTTCAGGGATCAAATCCAGGCTCCCATCTGCCTTGTGTGCTGGATGGTATCAGAGGGCAGAGACCTTCCTTTCCTCAAAAGCCCCACCTTCCTAGGATTGATGCTGGGCAATAGAAGAAGGGCTGGATCTCTGAATTGTCCTGCAAAAGCTGTTTTCATACAGTATGCGTGGGGAGCCAGCACTCTGGTCATTACCCTCTAGGACAATCAGGAGAAAGCATGGAGCACTGGCTTGCTGCCTCATCCTGCACAGAGCAATTTCAAGTTCCTTGCCCTTTCCTTACCTGCCCTCGGCCTTGCTGTGCCTTTCTCTACTGAAGAAAACATGAGATGACGTAAGGTTAATTCCTGTTGCATGCACAACAGCAGGAACACTGTAAGCTCAGTTATGCTTGATCTTAGCCACTTTGGAATGGCTTGGAGCAAGACAGAGCTGTACTAACAAATGACCCAGTTAGAAATGTGGCAGTGTTTTTGGGGTGGACATAATTTGTAGCCATATGGGCTGGATGGTTGGGCTGAATTTGGCCCCTGGGCCAGAAGGTCCCCATCTTTGCTATAAAACTTGAGAAATAGATTAGTTATCAATTTAAATAACCTCCAGAACTTTGTAGGATACTAAAGTCTATTTTAGCTGGAATGAGTCATGCCACAATTCACAGGACATACTTTACATGTGGAAAGTATATCCTTAAGGGATTAAATAATCCATTGAAGCAGTCAGTACCCGTATACACTACCTAGATGAGCAATGGTCTAATACGGTATAAGATGCTTACATGCTGGTATAAAATTCCACTCACCTTGTATTCTGCCCAATTCTTAACAATCGACTGGACAGTAGCCAGTCATTCAAAAATTCTCTTCCCTTTCTTACTCTTACTTTTTTTACTTACTCTTACTTTTGTTAGCTACACACACCTGCAGGTGAAAGGATGTGAGGATTGGCTTAATTCCTGCACACCAGACATCCTCCTTCATCTGCCTCATAACCTGGAAGCACATTGTACGGCAACCACCATCTTCATCAAGTTCCTCCATTAGTAAATGCTCAGCTCGTGAGAAGCTCAGGTTCCAGTGATAATTGGAAGAGGCTAAGAGATCAAAGCCAAAAGACTGTAAAAAAAAAAAAAAAGTAAAAGTCAAGCACAAATGGTAGCAAAAAACACAGAAGATGTTAACATTGTGGTACAAGTATTCAAAAATTAGTTGAGTATCTCAACAGAAATGCATTTGTTTTCATTATTATAATCTTTTAATTTAAACAACACTATTCTAAGGGTCAAGGATGGGCATTGGCATCATAAAAGAAATTTAAAAACTCAAATTGTACTGTTAAATATATGGTAAATTAAAGTAATGCATCCATGTTTAACTTATGATCCATTAGAGAACTTGGGCTTTCATGAGCTCCATAGTAAGACAGTCTTATTCATATAGGAAGAAGCACCCACAAATGACTTTCACTGGCCTCCATAGTTTTTGACTGGTGTACTAGTGGGGACAGGCAAACAAGGTAGAATGTTTAATAGCTTTTGACAGAGTCCTGTCTAAAGACTGTTTCTCAGGTGGAATACAGATGTCTTTTATGAAGAATATCCCCAATTCAAGTGAACTGATTCAGTTTAGATTAGCTTCCTAACTGGAAGCTGAAAGTGTTGATCTTTCCGAATCTGACCAGAAGAGTGTCTTTCCACATTATTTATGGGCTATATCTATTTCCCATATCTAACCAATTAAGGAAGTTATGAAATGTGATCATCTTTTGCAGCCCCATTTATATGAAAAGTGCTGCAAATCCCACTAACCCACTTTTTTTGAGTAGAAGAAATGGAACAGTCCCTCATACTAAAACTTCTTGGGAGACTAGCTTCCACTAAATCCTGCTGTCCTATCCCTTCACATATCCCTTTACAATATCCTCTTTGGGCTAAAGTCACTGTATTACTCAGCACAATACCTTAACACATTGTACTTTTTCCTGGCAAGGCCAGCGCTTAAAACACCGAGGCCACTTGATTTTCTGAGGCCAACAAGTTGGGATCTCCACTGTTGGAACCATTTCAACCTCCACCTGGAAATCATGTATCTCAACAGCAATACGAACCACCAGGTTGAAGCCTTCTAAAATGCTGACTTTGTCTGCGGAAGAGAAATCAAGAAAATACCATCAGCAAAGACTGGCCTACCATATTTATAAAATAAGTTCTAAATAGAACTGAATTTTTACAATACTATAAAATAGTGCTACATTTTAACACAGCAGAAGAAGCTTTGTGCCCTGACTTTCTGCTGCCTCTTGCACTGAACCTAAATTATTTTATGTATCGAGGCTCTCAGAAATGTTTAATGTCCACTGTAGTTGGAACGTGAATAACAGGATCACTACAGAGCCAGAGCCAAAGGGTCATCTTGAATAGTATTGTGTAGTGATAAGAGATAACTTAAAGATTGTAATAATTGAAATTTGGGGGCGGGGGGTAGAATTATCCCTGCTTCACAAATGAAATAGAATAAGAGCACTGCTTGAACCTGTATTTCTTTGTTTTACTAGCAAGCAAGAGCAAAGGCAGGTGAGCCAAGCAAGTTTGAATTTGTTTTTACACAGAAAGACCCAAACTTAAAAGGGTATCAATAGGAATAAACATAATCAGAAATCTGTAACAAAGGGCAAAGTAGAAGCTGCGTTAATGTTTTTATTTAGTCCTCAAATACGTAGAAAAGCACTTCAATATAAATTGCGCTGGGCCACATACCAAACCCCTTTCTGCTTCAGAAATGAGGCTGATGACTGGTGGACTCTTCTGGCTTTGTCTCCCTTCCCACCAAGCATCACCTGCCAATTGCCCTCCATAACATGTGGTTGGAGCAGGTGAGGTGGATGAGCAGGTGAATGCTTTGAATCGGTGAATGGCAGATTTAGCCCGTTGTCAAGTTGCCCAGCAGTCCTGTCAGTCAGGGTACTTCTAAACAGGAATCTAATTCTCTTCTGAAGGAGTGTTCAACCCATGTTCAAAGATAGCACAGCTGACATGTTGCAGGCACAGAAGAAGGGTTGTGAGAAGCAGTGGGGATAATCCCACCTACAGTAGTTCACCCCATGATCTAGCATTGTTTCAAAGAAGCGCTCTCTTTCTCTCCCCTGACCTGTCTCTCTCACCCTCACTTGCATAAGGCCTGATAAAGGCTTTGAAAAGCCCTGGACAGGTATTGCCCTGTGTCTACGGAAGCCAGTTGTCCAGGCCCTCCTGCAACTAGCAGCAAAACGGTCACAGAGGCCAATGCCCAGTGGCAGGAGGGAAGGGGTGTGTGTGTCCACAGCAGCCTGAACTGTCCAGTAGATGCTAGGCAGATCCAATCTCTGAATGCATCATCAATTTCATCATCAGTGAAGCACCTGAGATCACATCCCCAGCAAAATTGTGTACTTTTTTAAAATAATTTTTTTAAAAAAATTAAAAAATACTTTAATACTGGAACAGCTAACAGTGATGTTAAGCCACCTCAACTGTGGTCTGGCAGCATCATGAGGGCACATATAAAAATGATTAGCAGGACATCTTTATGCCACAGTTAGAGGAGAGTGACTATCAGCCCAAAGGCAAACTGCTAAATTATTTCTTAATCATAATTTCATTTTTATAATTTCAAGTGACAATTTTCCATTATATGCAAAAGTTTGTGTCTGTGTTTCAGCTTATATGTTATAGTTTCACAACAGGAATATATTTCAAAAAATAAAAATGAAGAAAGCTCACTTTAAGGTCATGACTGCAAAGCTGAATATTGGGATCAGCAACAAACTTAAGGAAAAAAAAAAGGATTGAAAGGGAAGAGAGCCAAAGTTATAGAAAAATCAAAACCATTCAACTGCTTCTTGGAAGAGAGTGCTGGTTCCAGACTCTGGTGCTGCTACTTCAGTGCTCAAGGAATGTGTGTGTGCTGAGGAAAAGCGGTGTGCAACTTTTCCCCAGTGGCTCCTGACACCTCTGCTCTGGAGGGGGTGCTTTAGCAATATAGTACACTGAAAGGAGACCTGGCAGGATCAGGTTGCTCTCACCTCTGGACCATCCTGGACCCTGGGGGCACATGTCTGGAGAAGTGCTTCCCACAAGGAACTTGATCACAGGCATCAGCTATGAATGCTAAATTCAGTTATATTTATCATCATTGTACATTATTATATCCACTGCCTAGAGCCCCATACCAGACTGAGGCGGTGTCTAAATACTCTAAGTAATCCTCTTGCCTTCTTTCTAGTCCTGGAGTTGGCAGTCCTGTGCCAGTGAGAGGACACACACTGCTCCTGGACCCCTTCTCTGAGGCAGCATGTGGAAGTCCAGTAGAAGAGGAGAGGTGGCAGCTGTTAAGAAAACATGAGCCCCAGGAAAACAGGAGGACATGAGAAAGAAACTTAAGACTGTCCCACCTTGTCTCTCCTTTGTACAACAGAGAGGAAAGGAGAAATTCTGTCAGGCTTTCAAGTTTCTGTTATTATAGCATAAATTAATAAAGCCGAGTTCTCATATTTCTTGTGGTGTCTGTTTCATGATCTGGTCTACCTCAAAGGCCTGACAAGAGGTAGACTCACAGGTGGTGGCAAAATGGAATGAAGGAGGTAGCAAAACACAGGAAGGTGGTGTCCAGCAGTGAACCAGGTTGTGTGGAGACCGGAGGGAGTTGCTTGACTATCCAAACTACTGCAGCTAAGGGAGACACATGGTACTTCACCCACTGCTGCCATGGGGAATTCCATACTATCAGCTCTCACCCCACCATCACTGCCCATTCCTAGTCCAAGTTTCCAAAGTTAGCTGAAAGTACATACTCATTTTCATATATAATGCACATGATTTGCAGGATAGATTGCTAAATGTATTTTAAATGTATGCAATAGATTTGGGATGCAAATTTAACCTTTTGTTTAAAAAATGTAAAGGTGGGAGGTATGCCTACAATCCCTAAAAGGCTGCCTGCCCCTGAATTCCAGCAAGGGAGGGAGAGTTAAAGACAAGCAATATACAGATACAGTACATGATATTAAAATATAATATTATGTCTTTGGTGCTGTTGCTACCAGACAGCAAGTGAATGGAGTGCTCAGAATCTTCTACCATATGGCTATGGCTATCGGTGGTGGTGACTTGTTTCTGCATAAGGAAGTGCTGGGGTCTGTAGATTTGTAAGTCATTCAATCCAGCCTCTATCCATGAACAGCAGGACCTCAACTCCATAAAGTGTTGGATCTGAACACAAATAGTATAACTTCAGAAGAAGAGGTATACACAGGGCAACCAACTGGAAATGGGCTGCATTGGATAGTAATATGGAATAGATAGAATCTGAAGGTCTTTTATATGATAAGATCCGAGTGACAAATTTCAAATGTTTATTGCCCAATATTTCAAAAGTCTGGAAGCATAAGCTAGCATATTTACATCTAAATATAGAATGTTCACTGCTTTGCCCCACAGCTTCACTTGTTTCTAATAGCAAGGTTATTGGGAGGGAAGGGGATAAGGGTTTGGGGTGTATGAATATTCATGCTTGTCTCTGCATGTTCCTCTTGACTGGGCACTAGAAGTGGCTCATGAGCTATTCCTCTCTTTGGGGAGAAAAATAATTGAAATATGCCCCATCTTCCCTTTTTACCCATTCTCTTTCTTTATGCATAAAATAACATGACATACTGTATATCTCTGAAAGCTTTTCCATGTTCTAAGTTCACACCAAAGCACTCACTTTGCTCATTTGCACAGCCTCTTTGCCCTGCTTTCCTCTGGTCCCAGAGCCAGGAGGAAATCATGTCAGCATAAATCACATTGCCCCACAGCATGCCTTTAACACGCAGCTGGAACGGGGGCCATGCTGTGCTGCTCTTTGTATAATTCCTCTGCCTGTCACTGAAAAAAGACCTTGTCAGTTTTCCGTGGCTGCAACATCTATATCCCCAACCAAAGGAAAGCTGCAACCCATCACAGCCCAAAAGGTGTAGCAGGGCACTGCTTGTAAGGCCTGGCCTGGCAGAAAAGAGTTTGTCTCTCTTAACTACATAGGGCTGTGGACAACTTAGAAATAATTCAGAAATGGTGCTTGGAAGTGAGGATGGTTGTGAATGTAGCACCTCTCTGCAACTCTTTACAGCAGCTGCATCTTTCCCCAGGATCATGCAGCTGCTATATTATCCTGGGAAAAGGCATGGCCACTTTTAAAAAGGCGTAGACAAGTGCTAAGGTCTTACTCCTATGTGTTCTGCAGCACCTTTTCAGGTTCAAATATGAAGTACTGCCCAGCCCTCTAAGTGGCTGCAACAGGCTTGGAGAACTTTTAGCCAGTGGAAGATTCCCATCTGGCCTACCACTTCCTTTCAACTTCCTAGTTGGAACTCATTCTTTTCAGCTTTTCTTTTACATTTCAATGTTTGCTAAGTAAGCTTTATAGGCAAAATGTGATATGAAGAATTACTGTGAAAATGAGTCAGGAGAAGTTGTCTATGGATGTGAAGAACTGAAAGGTCTAGAGAGGGGTGGAAAGGCTCAGACAGCCTTTATTTTTGCACCTTCCATAATCAACTCACCTTTGAGATTACAAGATGCAATAGATTGTTCCACAAGTTCTCGAAAAACTGTAAGAATTTTAGCAGGCACAAGGTCACCCCCAATGTTCACATCTGCTTCATGCCACTGCTGGAGGCTCTTGGAGAACTGTTCCACTTCTAACCACTGCTGCAGCTCCTCTGGGTCCCTGACCGGAGACAGGAGTTTTGCCCCGTGTGCTGTGTAGTAACGCCAGCGCCGTGCCTGCTCCTCCCTGTATCCAGAGAGACCAAGCAAGGGGATAGTGATAAGGATCTGTCTGGGACCCAAGACCTAGAGAAATTAAGAAAGGTGGAAACAAAAACATGAGTGGAAGTAGATGGAAAAGTCATTTTGAAAGCAGTTTGCTGAGAGCCCTTCCTGCCCTCCTTTTCTAATCCTCCAAAGGACTCTTGGCCCAGATTCTTTGTCTGAGCAAATGCACAAACCTTTCTCCCCAAAAGTCTGGGCTATTCCTGTCTTTATTTTCTGGGAATACTAATAGGGCTGATGTAGGTCCAGGGGGATTTTTGGAAATTATGCAGGAATATGCTTTGCTTTGTACCTTGCCAGTTTATTATTTAATATTTTTGTATTAAAACAATCTTAAAATTAAAATCAAATTGTGCAGGAGTATGATAATAACTTAGGGGGAGTCTATGGGCACCCACAGAACCTAGGTTATAACTTTTGCAGTATACAAATTCATTACACAAACTGTAAAATTCCATCTATTGCAATATCACCTGTCCTTTATGTATGTGTGTGTGTGTGTGTGTATAATTTTTATTCAAGAAATTTTAAGATAAAAGCCATATAAATATTGAAAAAAAGAGTAGAAAAAATAATGCATAGTGAGAAAAGAAGATAGAAAAAAGAGAAAGAGAAAGAAATAGAAAAAGAAAAAGAAAAGAAAAAGAAAAAAGATTAAAGGAAAGAAGCTTCTGATCTTCTTAACAGCAGTTACAAATGCATTTATATTTTACCCTCTCTCTCTCTAAGGTTACATCATAATTTCCTTCTGAACTACCCTTTCTAATCTTCAAACCCATAAATCACAAGTTCATTTTTCTCTTTTTTCAGCAAAAAGTCCATAAGGGGTTTCCAGTCACTAATACATGTAGTTGTTGATCTTTCTCGAATCAAACAACAGTTACAAATGCATTTATATTTTACCCTCTCTCTCTCTAAGGTTACATCATAATTTCCTTCTGAACTACCCTTTCTAATCTTCAAACCCATAAATCACAAGTTCATTTTTCTCTTTTTTCAGCAAAAAGTCCATAAGGGGTTTCCAGTCACTAATACATGTAGTTGTTGATCTTTCTCTAATCAAACAAGTCAATTTTGCCACCTCTGTTAGTTCTGTCACTTTTACCATCCATTCCTCCACTGTGGGTATTTCAGAGTCTTTCCATTTTTACACATGTGGTAATCTTGCAGCAGTGATCATATATAAAAATAGTCTTCCATGACACTTTTCTTATGTTCTATCCATTAATCCCAGCAAGAAAAGTTCTGGTTTCAGCTGAATGTTGGTCTTTAAAATTCTTTGTATCACTTTGTATCATTTGAACCCAAAATTTTCTAGCTTTTTTACAAGTCCACCAGGCATGATAAAATGACCCTTCTTGTTGTCCACATTTCTAACATAAATTTGAAGTACCTTTATATATCCTAGCTAATTTTTCTGGAGTCATATAGCAATGGTACACCATCTTATAAAAATTGTCTTTTAAATTGTAATGTAATGTAAATTTCAGTCCGCTTTTTCCCACTGTTCCATCAATATATTATATCCAAAGTTCTTAGCCCATTTTATCATGCAGTCTTTCACTTGTTCTTCTTCCGTTATAATAGAACCTGTCCGATACTATACGCTGCATTTTGCAGTTAAAGATGGGCTTACTCTGGCACTGTTTAATTGAAGGGACCAGAACGCACCCACTCTGCCAGCACATACCAGCCAGGCAAAAATCATGGGAGATAAGTTGTCCTTCAAATAACCAATGCAAAGTTCCTAATACATGCAATTTTTGCAAATGATTTTTTAAAATAATACCTATGATTTAGTGCACTTCCTTGGATGTATTTTTTCTATGCACTTTTCCTTAATATTGAGTGATTTTTTTTTTGAAATTGCAAACTGCATTGAAAAACTCTAGTGTAATTTATGTTAAGTGTATTCCAGATGATACATGAATTGAAGGACTGATTTTCTTTTCTCTTTTCTCCAAAGTGATACAAACTAGCTCCTCATAATTTTGCTAGGAGAATGATTTCTAAGACAGCCACAGCAGACAGTTATAGCTTATCCTCCAGCAAGAATATGGCTGTTACAGGTGGGAAGTGGTATCCCTACTCATCTGCTATTTTTGAGGGGCTTATTGCCCAAACATGAAAGAAATATGCCCCCCCCCCCCGTAGTAATGTAACAGTGCCCTCCCTCAGTTATAAGAACTGTCCATTTATCTTCCTAAAACTGATCATAAACAATAGAAAGTTATCAAGCAACCCCAGGATGTATTCAGTTCTGATCCCCACAATACAAGCAAGATGCTGAGAAAATGGAAAGAGTGCAGAGAAGAGTGACAAAGATGGTGAGGGGCTTGGAAGCTCGAACAGTTAAAAGAACTGCATGTGTCTAGCCCAGTGATGGCAAACCTGTGACATGTGTGTCAAAGGTGACATGCCATGATGTTTTGGGTGACACACCAGCATTCACCAACACCTGACAACTATTCTCCCTGTCTGAGTTACCAAAGAAACTGAGTTTGTTTCACTCATATTTCATTTTTGTAATTATTTGACCTTTCTTTATATAATACATAGTACCACACATGAATGGACTGTATTTTTTTAAAATAAGTGAATATGTAAAGAATTGATTCTCTTTTGTTCGGGGAGGGGGGTGGGGTGACACACTAGCAGAGTCAAGTTAGGCATTTTCCAAATTTTTGACATGCCAACCCCAAAAGGTTCGCCATCACTGGTCTAGCCTAAAGAAGAGAATGCAGAGGAGAGACATGATAGCAGTCTTTAAATACTTGAGGGGCTGTCACGGGGAAAAAGGTGTGGATTTATTCTCCATTTAACCAATGGGTGGAAGCTTTATAGAAGGAGACCTAAACTTGAAATAAGGAAGAATGTCTTGACTGTGAAAGCCACAAAGCAGTGGAAAAGCCTGCCTCTTGGAGTTGTGGATGTTCCATCACTGGAAATTTTCAAGCAAGGTTGGACAGACATTTGTCTGGGATTTTTGCCCTGAGCAAGTCCCCTTCCAATTATGTGATTCTATGAGAATGGAAAGCAAAAGGAAAAAAGAAGCAGAAGAGAACAATTAAAACAGAGACAGGACAGCCCATACAAAGAACAGATGCAATACCAAACAGAGTACAAGGAGACCAGAAGAAATAGATTTCCATCAGCCTGGGCAATTGAGACACATGGCTTTTTCTTTCTCCCCTTTCCATTGTTTTTTATGTGTTTTGAATTATAAGCCTCAAGACAGGGGCTAATCATTGTTTTTTGGCTGAAGAGTGTGATAGAAATGCTTCAAATAAACAAGTAACTGTTCCCACCAGAACAACTTAATTTGATTAGAAGGTTGACGTGGCATTTATTAGTGTGGTGCAGGTAAACGTGGCAGTATGAAGCATGAATACAGATAGAAGATCTTATCTATTCATTTAATTGCTACTGCATATATATTTATTGAATTGGTTCCTATTGTGAAGTTATATTTAATTATTAGAATGTAATATTGCTGGCAAATGTACACTGAAGCTATGGATTGTTCCCCATACCCAGAGCTGGCTTTAGGCTAAGGCTGACAGGCACTGTCCTAGGGCGCCAAAGCTTAGGAGGTGCCAGAGCTACCTTTCCTCATGAATCATTCTAAAAATGCAGATCTTCACATAGGTGGGAGGTGGTACCATCAGTCGAAGCAGCATAGGGCAGCTACACCCTTGAGCTGGCACTGCCCTGTCAATGTGCCCTGTCAATGTGCTTTGCTCCCGTCCCTGAGATGAGAGAAAAGTATGTTGCTTTCTACATCACTGCCCTGGCAGCATCTTTCCACCATGCCTCTGTAGTATGTTTGTGTGTGTGCGTGTATGCCTTCAAGTTATTATGGGCTCCTGGTGAATGTCTGGAATAGTCCCTGCAGTTTTCTTGGCAAGATTTTGGAAGTGGTTTGCCCTTGCCTGCTTCCTAGGGCTGAGAGAGCGTGACTGGCCCAAGGTCACCCAGCTGGCTTTGTAGCTGAGGTGGGACTAGAACTCATGGTCCCCCAGTTTCTAGCCTGGTGCCTTAACCACTATACTAAACTGACTCTCTCTGCAGTATGGCTGGTAAAATTGTTGCATTCCTTTTTGTGTATTAGTTGTGTTACTTTCTCTGCAGTGATTAGTTCTTGTGGTCTGAGAAAAAGCAGCACCACTTTGTGCTTCTTTTTCTCAACTCAGAAGAAACAGCTTTCTTGGATTTTCCGTTAAAACTCAGCACTCCCAGCACAAGTGCTGAATTTTAAGAGATAAGGAAGTGGGAGTGGGTGCTCCCCACACAGTGCCTGGTCTCCTGTTGCAAGTGCTGCTTGGAGAATCCCTCTGTCAGGGCAGAGACTAATTGGAATCCTGACCTCCTGGAATATGTTTCATGAGGTTGCTATTCCTACCAGAATGAAAAGAGAGAGGGGGGGGGAGAGAGAGGGAGAGAGAGAGAGAGAGAGAGAGAGAGAGAACTTCAGCTGCTTCTCTCCAGCAGTCAAAATAGAGATGGTTGGATGGAGTCCTGCAGGTCATCAACCTCCTTTAACTGCTGCCGCCGCCTCCTCTTCCAGGTGAATCAGAATGTTCATAACAGAAGGCTTCTTCCATTTTTCCACAGAAAGCAATACTCCTCTGCCAGATCATTCTGAGCCTTCAGTGGCAAAATGATACTGAGATGGAGTCTCCATTGTGAAGATATGTCCTCCGCAAATATAAGCAGGCCATCTAGATGCAGGAGCAAGGGCTGTGTGGATCAGCCCTATGTATATACAAATTAGAGTTGTATCTGAACAAATCCATTCTAATGCACGCTCAATTGGTACTGAGGCTAATACATGCCACCAACTGCTTGCACTAAATGGAGAAGGGCAATTCTCCATTTGGTCTTTATGTGTGGGAGTACCCTATGGAATAAGCCATTGAACTAAGCTAAGCAGCTTAGCATCTTCAAGTCATTGGATCCCAAATGACAAGAAGGCCTCTCTGTTCCACTTCAGCAAAAAGGTCCTGCTGAACTCTGGGCTGTTTCTGTACCTTTTGTATGCCTCCTGCTTCCTCTCAGTCATGCTTCCTAGTGATCCCAGATTACCCTTGGATTCCTTCCTCCCAAAGCTCCTGACAACATTGCATTGAAATTCAGAGGAAGAACTCAGAACATGGTTTCCCTTAATCATGACATCCACAGTGGAGATACGTGGCTTCCATTACGAGAGGAATCTGGCAGTTAGCACTCCACCCAAGTGAGAGCAAGGCTCCCAGGCACGTACCTTCATATTATCATTGTGAATGCCAGAACTGGAGACGGCTCGAAAGCGGGGGTCCTTCTTGCTAATTTCTGTGGTCAGCTGTTGTATGATTTTTTGTACCTCACCCACAGTTTTGGACACCATATGGTGTCTCAGGACAACCTGCAAAAAAAGTCCAATACTTGTATTGCAGTATTGAAAAAACTATCAAAAATAAATTACATTCTAGATTTCTATGCCTGGAGAGTGCCAAGCTTGATTGTACGAAATATAACTGTTGAACCTGAAACTTCCAGCATAGGAACATCCACTGTGAGGGATGGATGTGTTTGTTCATAGGAGGACTACAAACAGCCCGGGCCAGGGATGGAATTCACCGACTGAGCAAACAGGGAGAGCTGCTGCCCTGGAGTCTGACGGGAGGAAAGAGGGTGATCAGTGAGGCCTTGTGTTCTGAGGGGACTGTCTATTCAGTTGTGAGGATAAACACATTGGGAGGGTCATCTCTTCCAAAGGTATTGATTGCAAGGGTAGTGTCTTGAGAGCTGGTGATCGCTCATTGTAGGTGAGTCAAGCAAGCAGAGGGATCATTCAGACACTACAGGAAGATGCATTCCTCCTCCTTTACCATGGCAGGAAAGTTTGTCGACAGAAATTGTGCTGAGTTTAACTGTGCCTCAGCAACAAGGCTGGGCAATGTTGCTGTTTTTACAACTTAGGGTTAGGGTTAGGGTATATACCAGAGTCACTGGTATGTTTTGTACAGCAAAATGACAATTATCTTTGGAAAATTGCCAAGGGGTTGATAACACACTTTATCAATGCTGCAAAAATCAAAGAGAAAAGCTGTATTTGCTTCTGCTGCAGGACTTTCCCAAGGACTGGTGATCCATAGTGATGTTGGTTTTCTATATTAGCTGATATAAAAACTTCTGGGCAAAGTCATAAGTGATGCCATGACCATCCTTTCGCAGTGCCTGGAGGCTGTGGGGGTCTGGATGGGGAACAACAGGCTTCAGCTGAACCCTGGTAAGATGGAGTGGCTATGGATTGGAGGCCCCTCTGTATCTGAGAATTTACCATCTTTAGTTTTGGACAGGGTGGCACTGCCCCAGACAGACCCAGTGCATAATATGGGGGTCCTCCTGCACTCACAATTCCTGCTCAAGAAGCAGGTGGCAGTTGTAGCCAGGAGGGCCTTTGCCCACCTTCATGTGGTATGCCAGTTACACCCCTTCTTGGATTCAGGAGGCTCTCCAGTCCAGTCACTTATGCCCTGGCCATCTATTGGCTAGATTATTGCAATGCGCTATACATGGGGCTACCCTTGAAGAGTATCTGGAAGCTACAGCTGGTTCAAAATGCAGCTGCATGGATATTAGGTGCTCCTAGGATGGCACATGTAACATTTTTGTTGCGGGAGCTGCACTGGGTGCCAGTTTGCTTCTGGGTCCAATTCAAGGTGTTGGTTATCACCTTTAAAGCCCTACATGGCATGGGTCCAGGTTACCTGAGGGACCTGCCTCATCCCCATTACATCAACCCTGTAAGGTTTACCCCGTTTGTCTCAGAGAAACTCTTGTGACACGTGTGTTCAGCAAAGAAGTTTACTCAAGCGTAATGTAAGTACAGACAAAGCCAGGGTCGGCTTGGCACATCTTACAATGTATTTTATAGCTTCCCCATTCCCTCGTTTTGCCCCGTTGCTCAGTTACAGATTACCTGCAGTAATCCCTCCTTGCCCAAATGGCAGATTCAGCCCAGTTCTTTTGTCTTCTTGATTGCCGTCTATGGGTTGTGCTGTTGTTGTCTCTGTTGGGTTTTCCTGTTGCGCGCAAAGCTGGGAATTCTAAATCACGCGCTGATTGCTGCGCTTCTGAGCTGCTGCACTCCGTCTGCAGTGCTCAAGGGAAGCTGGCGCTGATACAAAGTATCCACTTGCAGTTTGAGCCACCTGTCAGCAATCAGTTCACAGTTTCACTTCCCCTTTTTCTCTGCTAGCGCCTGGGCGGTGAAATTGACTAGGCGAAGCTGAACCTGTCAGCAATCAGTTCACAGTTTCACTTCCCCTTTTTCTCTGCTAGCGCCTCGGCGGTGAAATTGACTAGGCGAAGCTGAACCTGTCAGCAATCAGTTCACAGTTTCACTTCCCCTTTTTCTCTGCTAGCGCCTGGGCGGTGAAATTGACTAGGCGAAGCTGAGCAGCGCGTTTGCCCTGCCGTTCCATGCCGGCTGAATCTGACAAACCCATCCCACCTGGTCAGGCAGAGAGGGCATGTTGCGGACCCCGTCAGTGGGAGAATGTCGGCTGGCAGGGCCCAGGAGGAGAGCCTTCTCTGCTGCTGCTCCCACTCTTTGGAACATTCTCCCCCCAGAGGTGTGATGGGCCCCTATCCTCCCAGCTTTCTGAAAAGGTTTAGACTTGGCTCTGCCAATGTGCATGAGGCAATATGGGCTCTAACCGTTCTTGGGGGTGGTTAGCATCCTGACGATGCTCCCTTGAATTATTCCCCAACTTTTCATCTTGCTTGAAAGCTATTTATTATTACATCTGTTTTATATTGTATTTTAATTAATTTTATTTTTGCTGTAAACTGCCCAGGGTTGTTTCAATGAGATGGGCGGTGACAAATTTGATAAATAATTAAAAATAATAAAAATAATAATTAACACAAAAAGCTACCCAGTAGTTTACATTATAACAACTATCCTGGAGACATTGAATCACCTGTCTTGAGCTTCCTGGACAGGCATGCAATAAAATGTAATCTGTGGCCACTGTGAATTTTACTACTGTTTACACTTAGATAACTGATTATTTATGCAATTAAAAATACTGTACTAAATGGTATTTCACTGTTCAGCTTTCTACTTTGATCTTCATTTTCTGCAAAAATACCAGTATCTTAAAACTCACAGGAAAAGAACGTATCAATGTATTATTCTGTTGATCTTGGTCTCATGTCTTAAAATAGCAAGGTCATCTCCAGTGCTGGCTTAAGGGTATATGGTGCCCCAAGCCACATTGGCCAATGGCGCCACCACCTGCCTATGTGAAGATTTGCAATGCAAAGATTTGCGTTTTTTGGAATAGCCTTTCAAATCAAATCAAACCTTTATTATTAGGGGCCAGCAAGCACAACAATAAAATACACAGACCTGTTTAATAATTAATAAAACTTTTTAAAAATGCAGAAAATTACATAAAATACATTATTATAGTAGCTGTAGTAAAAATAGCAATGGCAGTCACCAAAATTTGTGCTACACTTCAATCATAGGAAGGACGGATACAACAAATGATAGCACAGAATCGGGCACCTGGAAAGATATGTCAGGGTCCTGGTCAGATAAAAGCAGTGACAGATAGACGTTGTCTATAGAGCCAGGGTGGCTCTTTAAAATATGATAAATATATATCTTCCTTGATTCTCTACACAGAGAGCAACAAAGGAGCACATGGCTTAGGGATTCTATTGAGCCATCTCCACATGGACATAAGCACCGCTGAATAGGCTTTGTTTGTGGAAGGAGGGGAGCCATTGGCACCCTCTAAGCTTTGGTGCCCTAGGCCAGTGCCTACTCAGCCTTCGTCTAAAGCAGGCACTGCTCATTACAGAAAACAAATAACTATTTATCATCTTGTAATGTCTATTTGTCACCAATAATCACAAGCCAAGAGTGGACCACTCTCAAAGTAATTGGATGCCACACTCACTTGACTGCATCATTGCGATCTGTATATCTATAGCTATTTCTTGCATTGCTTAAAAATGAAAACAAAACAAAAATCACATGGGCACACACATACACCAGTTTTGTCCTTAATGCAAAAGGACTCGGGAAATAATACATTTTATTACATACATTTGAAAATTGGCCTTGGCCCATAAAAAACACTATTGCGAAAGTAACATTTTGGTAATTAAGGCACCACACGATTATTTTCTAGCTTCTATAAAGTGTATAATTCTATTACAAAATTCAATGCCTTTCAAAGTATGTTTGAAAATTTGAATAGTTACTGAAAAAAGAAGAATTACTGAGAAAATACAAGCCGAATTAGCAGTGACACTGGGAGATCTCTGTTTTTGAAAATATGTATATACCACATGGAGTTTTGTTGGCAACCATATTGATATGGTTTACTACTGCCTTCTTCCAAATTTGATTTTGGAATGCTTTCTCCTAGGTGAGTTGGTTTCCCTCAAGGTGAAGCAGAGTCCCACCAGTTCTCATCCCCTCTGTGGATTAGTCTTATCTTTCTTTCTTCCCTCCCTCCTCTTTCAACCTTACTGGAAGATGATCCTACCAGGAGCTCCTGCTGTCACTAGCATCATTATCAGCATAATTAAAGCTACTGAGCCTTCTCCCCATATCAAGATGGTAAGAAGAAGATAACCAATAAAGTGAATGGATGAAATCATGGAGATCATATGAACATTTTTGGAAGAGCTGATGATTATCACCAGGCAAATTGGATGCATTTGTCTGACCAGGAGTCAGACTTAATTTGACAGCACCTAATTAACTAATTCATTCCGTAAGTTGGGGGGATATATTTGGATATGCTTTTTCCCCATGCCTTTATAATCCACTTGTTCATAAGCACATGCTTTTCCTGTGGAGCACCTAGCAGTTTTAGCTGAAATCCAAGCCCCCTCCCTTCCCAGCTTTATTTTCATTTTTGAAAAACACATGGGATTTCCTGTCACAAGTCATAGCTACTTTGGCCCCCAAAATATAGAAGCTCCCTTCACAGCTTTATTTTCTTTTTAAAAAACACATGGGATTACACATAGCTACTTTGACCTCAAAAAGCTTCTTTCAGAGGTTGCCTGCTGCTAGTATTTCTCCATAATGGGCAGTCATAGGTATAGATCAGAAAAGAGACACAAGATCAGCAGATGAACAGAATGAGCACTCTGCCTGGTGTGCAAGAACAGCAGCCTCCCAACTCTCGAGCCCTCCAGATGTTTTTCGCTGGAACTCTTTGGGTTCAGTAGCAGATAAATCCATGCACAAAGTGTTTTGTAAAAACAGGAAAAACTGTGAAATGATAAAATAGCTATGCAAAGTAAAAAAAAGTTCCACAAGAGAATGTGCACTATCATTTATATTCAGTAAACTCAGGATCACCATCAGTTTCATATTTCTTCACAATGGTATGAAAACAGATTAAAAAAATCAAAGTTCCACTTTTTGTTGAACTTTCCTGAAATCCCAGTCACTTAGTATCTTATCTATAGTATGACAGCTCAGTACAGACCAGCATAAGACATTCCACAATTTATCCTATACAGAAGACACAGTCTGGAGATTTTTATGACAAGATGATCAAGAACAGAATCTAAACCAGGATTCCAATCTCTAGATACAGGAAAGACTGACAGCATTTCCTTACCTTATTCTGAATGTACCAGTCTACAGTTTCATCTGTGAGTTGCTTCATATTAAGGATTTGTGTCCTACGTATATCCAAGGAAAAGTTTTCTGGTATTAATGCAGAGGCAGCCATCAAGAATTTTGCCTCTGAAAAAATTGTCTGCTATCTAAAAAAAACTTGTTTTCCCTACAGATAAAGAAAGGAAGCAATTCTTCTGTTGATTCCACATTGCAAAATTCACCCCCTCTTAACTGACACCCTCAGCCCAATAATTTTTGTTTGCTTTTAGAATTTTTTAAGAATGGTAGTTCTTCCATATATTGATGGAGAAATTTAGATAGCAAACATCAGAACATTTTCTTAGATACAGGCTCTTTCTAATTGCTATGCATTCCCTTGTTCAGTCCAACTCTTCCCCATACCATTGGTAAACTATTCTGTTTCCATCCCACCCTTTGCCTCTGCACCTGTGTGCCTATTTTTATCTACTTTGGAATTGCAGTCCATGGCCTTTGTTCCTTATCTCTCATTTCTCTCTCTTGTTATATTGACAGTAAATGCCACGCCACTTGGGCCTTGCCTGCCATTTGCTTTACTTTCTTGACTGTAAATATATAACTGAGCTGTCTCGTTAGTTGCCAGTTGCCTAAAGAAGCACACACAAATACAAATTATATAGAAAATGGAAGCAACTGATTGGCCCCTTTATCAGTTGAAAAGAAGCAAGTGACAATTTGCAAAAAGGTGCATCATGGTAACAAGAACACATAGCACATTCCATTATTATATATTTATTAAATTATAATTATTAATTATGTGTATGTGAATTGCTAGCAATGTTCTCACTGACTACTATTTTGATGCTATAAGAGACTGTCTGGGCATAACAGTGGGCATCAACAGGCATAGCTGAGGACATAATGTCTGTGCTGTGTGGTTCAAGTCTGTTGGTTTTATATGCCATCTCTCCCCCAAGTACTATACATGACACTTCTCAGATTATAACCCAACTACTTCAGTTCTACCAGGGAGCTTGGGCTTAGAGAGTGACTTGCCCTCAGGTCTGCTGGTGCTGATGCTGAACACCAGGTCAGTCCAAAATAAAATATCTCTCATCTAGATTTATTTATGAATGAAGGAGCAGATGTGTGTATAACAGACCTCGGTGGGTAAGCTGGGAGGAGTCAGCCTTTCCCAGTTGTGCCCACTTGGATACTTTGCTCATCACGTGTGTGATTGCCAATCACACGCCTCCCTGATGGTATGGCATGATGGATAAGTATCTGCCTGTATTGCATTGAGGACACCATTGATCCTGAC